GCATACGACAACAAAGAATCCTGTGTTCGCAAGGCATCTGTGTTTTGCATGGTAGCTCTTCACAATGCAGTTGGTGAGGAAGCCATGCGGCCGCATCTTGAAACTCTTACTGGTTCCAAGTTAAAACTTCTAAATTTGTATATCAAGCGTGCAGAGACACAAAGTTCTGGAGCATCTTCTCCAAAGTCTGAGCCTCCTATGTAATATATTAGAAAAAAAAGAGGAGGTTGTGATTTAGTGAGATGGATGTGCATAAGTTCGGTCTTAAAAGTACAGTTAAATGATCCGAGTATCACAAGACCGTCATTCATAGATATACTGAAAAAAGAGCAAGGGTTGGGGAAAAAATTGTGAGGTAAATTTACAGTTAATTGATTTATCCTAAGTGTAGGGAATAAAATGAGCCAAATAGTGAACAACTTTAAATACAGAATAGTGTAAACAGTCTTTTTATTAAAAATAAACTAATGCAGTTCATGGTAAGTGTGGCACAAAATGTTAAGAGTTTAACTTTTTAGTTTTGAAATGTGAAATTTATATTGAAATCTCAAAAAGAGAATATGCTATGTAAAATTATGAATTTTTCATTGCAATGTTTGTAAGGAAGAAAGTTCCCATACGTGTAAAGAATGTGGTGCCAGGTGGTTCTACCATAGTTTTATTATTAGTTTTTACTGACCTATTTGCTTACTTGGCAATCTTTGTGTGATAGATTACTTTGTGATTACTGATAAAATAGATATGGCTTTTTCTGGCAAAGTGAAAATATTATAAACCAGTTCTAGGATGTTAAGGAGCAGCCTTTGAGCAATCTTGATGCATATGTGCCATTAGGGGTGCAGTTCATGTTAACTAAAGGAGATTACACTATTACTGCCTATCTTCATTTTCTCCTGCATGGTGTACTCTGTTATAAGAACCCGAAGATGGATTTTCATTGCCAGTGGATATGATACAATTATTAACAATAGTGTAATTTGATATTAGGGGCTGGGAGCTAGTCATTTGTGCTTGAAAGTGACATCATGATAATCTTGTATGCCTTTTCTTAATTGTAACCCCCTTTAGCTGACATAATGATACTAATGTAATCGGTTTTTACTGGTCTGTGACTATACAGTTGCTCTAAATCATGTTTGATGGTCGACTTGGGTCTGAACAAAGCTGACTGTAATGCCTGGCCTAAACGATTATCTGTTGCAATAGTTATGACTGAACAGTGGTTTGGGGCTAGTATATATAGATAGATGTCTGGGGGCCCACCATTCCAGTTTCCTGTGTGCCTGATGTGGCTTGACATGAATGCTGGCTTGCCTTGGGCTGAGCTTATGGTGGAATGTGTGATAGCGCAGTGTTTGTAATATAATTCATGTACATAATTTTTTTTCCCTCTATGGTCAAGGATTCTAAATCTTGTAATGCTAATTTTTTTTTAATGTATCAAATATGCTACTTAACACCCACCATCTCTATTGATCAAATGATTGTTAGGGATCATGAATTTCTTTTTAAGTTCATAAGAAATTCACATTTTACTTTAATTATGATCAGCAATTTTGAGCTGCAGGATGTTTGTTCCTCCAAGGCACAAATTCATTCACAATAGGGGATTTGAGCTAAACCGAGCACTACACTGAATATTTACTCTATACTACAAGCATGAGCTATAACTAACCTATATTCCGTTTGGTATGTTGATAAAGACTAAAACACACAATGAACATGAGTTTGAAATTGGATGACTACAAATTATTTTGTAAAGGTATTAATCATAGATGTGAGGTAATATATTATTTTTCATACCAGGCTACTGATGCCCCACTATTCTATAAATCTTCAACAAAGTTTAAATTTGTACCCATTTTGGTACCTACTCAAAGTGAATTGAATAGGTTCTCAAGTACCTATTTTTTTGTAACATTGACTTATACTCTTTTTGTACAGTATTCTAATTTTACTTGAGCTAAAACGTTTGCTACTTTCACAGACTAAATGTGGTTTTTAACTGTTTAGTTGTAAATTAAAGGTTATAGGAATGATAGTTGGAATAGCTTGCTATTGCCAAAATGTTTTGGGGCAGCCAAGCTGTTTCCTCCTCCTCCATATAGCAGAGCATGTTACTTTGACAGGAAAGGCTGTTTTAGCCTTGGTATTGTATTAAGGTTTGGTATATATTGTCTATTTTGCCCATTTAAAGCCAGGGTAATTAGTTCAAATTAAAGCTTTGAAATAAGAAAAAAATATAACTTTTTGTTTGAGTGCTGCTCCTCTTATATTGTGCATAATTTTTTGTGTTATTTATTGAAACAAAGCTTTAATTGAGGCCTTCCATCTGTGGCTCAGGACTGCTGGTTTAGTCCTATTTTTCATTCATATTAAAGCTGTATATAAGGATTTATGTGCCAATGAGTTCTCTTTTTCTATAATTGTGATACTGTAGCTATTTTTGTTGGAGTGTGATGTGTAAAGTTGTCAGAAAGCACCAAGTAATCCAAAAGTCATAAACCTGTCTTTCATTGGTTGCATAAATGGTAGTTTATGCATTAACATGATTAGTGAGAAAATGTATGACTTGAAGATATAGTAATTATATTGACAGATCATTTTGGAAAAAAAAGCTTTTTTTACTAATATTGGCATACTAATGTTATATTGCAATGTACTGCCAGATTTATTGCAACCAATAGTTTATACTGACCTCTAAAATGAAATCATGCATAAGGCTTACTAATTTAATACAGCAACAATAGACAACCAATTTTTAAGGTGTGGCTATTAAAAAGGCATTAAATTTTTTGGTCAGTAACTAAGATTTGAGATGGTTATCATTGATGATATTAAAAATTTACCTTATAATGCAGTTTCTCTTAATTAAATCCTATATTTATAAACACAGTAACTCATGTGTCTAAAACTAATTTACCCATTTTTAAGTTCAACCTTCCTTTAGGTTTTTGTATGTACAAATATTTCATTTAGTTAGTGTCTAATGTCTCAAAATATCTGCATGGTAAGGTACATAATTTTCATCATCACATGTAAGAAAGTGCTTTGTTGAAAAACACACAACAAATATCGGTTGATTTTAAATGTGTATTGCAGGAAGTGTGAGCTTAATGAAAACAAGTAAGTTTGAAAATTGTGGCTGGTGTCATGCTAAGTTAGTAGTATAGGTGTGAGGGATGCTGGCTGCCCCAAGTGACTCCTTTGCACATTCATTATCCTAATAAATCTCATTATAGTAGATTAGTTTACTTTAACCTTTGTAGTCATGTAATGTATACTGCAAATTTGACCAAACATTCTTCTATGGTGAAACTTGTGAACTTAAAACAGATATACATTTTTAGAAACAACTTTACACTTCTTAACACTTTGGCGTACCCCACGCGCCACCCCTCAACTGTGCGATATGGGACCCAGGGTGTCACGGGAGCGCGCGTAAATTCTGAAAAGTGTATACTCTCTTCAACTTTGTCACCTTAATTCTCGTCCTACGAGATTAAATTTGGTATCATTGTGTTCGCAATAGAATTCTCTACAGCACTAAATGCATATAAACTCCGAAAGCCCGGCTAATTACCCGCAGCAAACAGAGAAAGTGCGAACGAGTTACCCAGGAGCGCGTAAACGCGATAAAATGTTTTCACTATTTTCACTCTGGTCACCTCAATTTTCGTCCTAGGTCTTTCATTTTGGTCTCAATGGGTTCACAATAGAATTCTCTAGAGGAACATTAGCATATAAAATAAAAAACCTGGTCACGCTCCAACCGCGGACGAGTTGAAGACGGGCCACGCGTTAGCCGCCAGTGAGCGCTCGGACGCCTTCCAGCTACACTCCCAATTCCCGCCCTTTTCAAGCCTTTCTTTCGCAATTTTCTTCCTGGAAGGGCCTTGTTCATGATCACTATCCATCGTGGAGTAAGCGTAGATAGTTTCTAAAGCTGCAGTAAGAAATATAGCCGAAATGTTCACACGTTTGAGATGCGAGGGGAGGCGACATTGGTCACAACAGTGGAGCGAAAACAATGGGCCCACGGCGTGTGCCAAGCCGCCTGAGGGCCAAGAGGCTCAACAAAGAAAATGGGAAGACATCAGCGCACAATTTAAAACCAGTCCCCAAAAAATCGGAAAAACCTGATTTTTGGCGATTATTTAAAGTGGATGACGCAATGCTGCGTCATCCCCGGTATTACCGACAGTAAATAGATGACGCAATGCTGCGTCATGCCCGGGCGAAAGTGTTAACTAGTTTGCATATTGCACAGTTAAAATTCCAATAAGAGTAATTCTGCTCGCTGACCTGTTTAGCAAATTGTGTTCAACTTGGTTGTGTTAATACTTTGCCTTAAAAGGTTTTAGGTAACTTAATTGACTAATATCCACTAAAAAGGCTGATTACCTCTGATTACAAAATGCATAAATAATATTTTAAAATAAATTTTAATATGTTCATAAATTCCTGCATAACATGTTTGAAAATAGCAAGACATAGGTTAACATTTAGGAGGTAGGGTATGCTACATGGAGTTCATTAGGTAATATTTAGTATTATCTTAAACTGATTGAGAGAGGGACAGTCTTTGACATGATTGGGAAGGTCATTCCACATTTTGGGTCTCATGATTTGCTTAGTATTTCTAGTTTGGTTAAGTCACACTCTTGGAATATCAGATACAGTAGATATGTTTCTAGTGTGGTGCCCATGGGTTCTGTCTTCTAGGAAGCAAAAAATCTTCTAGGAAGCATTTAAGGTTAGGATTGGCATTACAGTTCAGAGTTTTATATATAGTACTCTTGAGAAGATGTGCAGTGACTTAATATCCAGCATATTCAAAGATTTAAGAAAGGGGGCCCAAGTGCTGACTGGGGTCAGAGTTTGTTATTGTTCTAATAGCAGATTTGTGTTGAGTAATTAGAAGATGCAGATAATTTTGGGTAGTAGAACCCCAAGCACAGATGCTATAATTGAGATAAGGATAGATAAGAGTAATGGAGCGTTACCAGGGCAGGGAGAGGTGCATAATATCTGATTTGAGAAGGAATGCCAACTGTTTCAGAAACTTTCTGTAGGGAACCCTTTCAGCTCTCTGGAGCTATCTTGTTAATGCGCAATTCATTAGACCAGGGTATCCCCCCTCCATGGTGAGAGGGGCTCGCGTACACCTCCCTGGGACCAGTGAGGGTTGCCTGTCCCCACTTTGGGTGTTGTATGTGAAAAAGGGCACTCCCCCTCCTACCCCATAGGTCCTTGAGTCACATGGCAGGTTCTTGATGACCTCCATAACAGTGGCCATTTCCCCATCCTTGTCACCTTTTTCTCTTTTCACCCTCCCATCTCCTTCCCTCGGTGGTAGTTTGCCAGTTTACCCTTCGCCGTCTTGACTCTTTGCACCATACTGGGTTACACCTCAGCTCTAGTGTCTTTTGTTTGACTCCTACCTCAGCCTGTATGTTGAATCCGGTGTCCTGTCTCTCCAGGACCGCCGTGATTGCTACTGTCTTCACTATCTTGCACGGTCCTTACAACACCCTCACTCCCACTTATGTTGTGCCTTGACCTTTACCCCTCCTGTGGTTTCTGTTCCCCTTCACCACCTGCCTCTTTCTGTACGGTTGTCTTGCTTACAAAATGCTCTTTTGTTTCATGTTGCTTACAAAATGTTTCTTTCGTTTTCCCCCTTCCTAAATTTTGTGAAACCTTGACCCACGTGACTATATCTTTTATCCCCCCTACAGTTCTGAAACACTTTTTCCGTGAACACCTTTCTTCACACCTCTACTCCATTTCCGTCTTCACCGTTGGGTCTTAGTTTGCAGACGGTGTAGGCTACTCTGGTGTTTTTGCTGACCTCGCCTGTATGTGTCGCCTGTCTCTGGAGACTAACGTCTTCACGGCAGAACTTTATGCTATTCTGTATACTCTTCGTCAACTGCTTTCTCACTGTCAATCCTCCTTTGATGATGATGTTGACTAGCAGTGTCCTCATGGCTCTGGAGTCCTTTAATCCAGTCCATTCGGTGGTAGTCGAGATTCAACATTGGCTGTTTCTTATCTCCAATAGATTTAAGACTAGAGTTTTGCTGGGTTCCCAGCCATATTGGTGTGTCCTTAAATGAGTGTGTGGACGCTGCTGCTAAGGAAGCTATCTGCACATGTCCCATCTCTCGTAAAGGTATTTCTTATTCTGAAATTTTACCCAGTTATTCATTCCTCCATCCTTGCCGTGTTGACAAGGTTGTTGGTCTTCTGTTATTGGTAACAAACTGCGTGCTCTTAAGATTAGTGTCCCCCCCATGGCCTTCCTCCTACCACTGTAACCGGCGTTGGGAAACGGCTTTGGCGAGGTTATGTATTGGCCATACATGTTTAACTCACGGGCCCTTAATGGAGTGCAGCCCTGCTAATTATTGTCCAAACTGCATTGTCCCTCTTACAGTCATGGATATCTTTACTGAATGCCCTGACTTCCAGGACGAACATGTGTCTTCCTTCCTGACCGTCCCTCACGGTCACTTGACCCTCGATAGATTTCTTGGTGAATTGGATATCTTTGATATCGTTCGCCTTATGCGTTTCTGTTCTCATATTGGCATCCTTAGTGATATTTAGCACCCTATGATTATTCCGCACAATTGTTGGCACTACATAGCCTTCCCGGCTTGGTGCCTTCTTTTGATAATTATTTACTACTTAGACCAGGGCATTAGTCATGAGTTCAGCTTACCAGGGGACCACAAGCCAGAACTTGGTCCCCTCAGAGAGGCACAGGGACCCTCAGGCCCTTGGAACCCTCCCTTCCCCTGTAGTTGAGGATTTTCCTTATTTGCCATCGATTGGGGTTAGGCACCCAGAAAGGTAGGTATAACAAAACAGACAGCACATGACAAGAAAATTGCAACCGAAAACCGAACAGAGAGGCAGAACTTCCTCCAATTCCATTGAAACAAGCAAAAAAGCAAATGTCACACCCCTACCGCCTTGCAGCCCCCACCCTCGGTGGTGCGGGGGGAGCCCCAGACCCTCTACGTCAGAGACTCAGCTATTCCAGTTCGTTGACTAATGCAATCCAGGGCGGTCGTCATCTCTGGCCTTGATTTCATATGCAGTGTTTTGCCTTAGTGCTCCCCCTCCCTTTCCAGCCCGTTGTCATTGGGCTGGAAAGTTAGTTTTGGGTGTGAGAGAAGAAGGAAACGTGAGCACAAGCTCCGCTGCAGACCAAACTTGACTTTGACACACTACCTGAATTTGTTAATGAAGATCCTACCCTGCTGGTCGGTGACCTTAATGTCAGACACCCACACTTTGGTACCAACTGTCATCAGCCCAATGTCAATGGACAGAAACTGTCACTCTATGTCTGGGGAAGTGAAAACCTTGGAGTCCTGGGTGATGAACAGCCAACTCACCTCAGAGGAGGAAGATTAGACTATGCTTTCCTGCTGAATGCACAGGACACGGATGCCAGTACACACATTGTGCACAGTTTATGTAGTGACCACTGGGCACTGATTACCACCGTCGACATGAGCAAGAGAAGGAAAGAGACAAATAAAATAAAAAGGTTATCACTTGGACCAAATATGAGGCTGCACTTCATAAACATGATGAGTGACTGGTTCACGGAATACCAAATCCCGTCATCCCGACATTGATACATTTGTTGATGACCTTGATCACCAAATTGAGAGCTGTCTCAGAGTTCCGCGCCGTACGACTGGGGGAATAACTCTCAGAGGAAGGAAATAAAATGGTATGAGAACGATTACATAAAGATGCTTAACGCAAATGTAAGAGACATGAGTAGAGAGTACCGGAGACATCCCACTGAAAGTAACCAGGAGTTGTTTAAAACTGTGAGTCAAGTAGCCAGGGAAGAGTAGATTGAAGAGCGGGAAAGACAGAGGCTTGAGTTCACTAGCTCTATTGGAAGGGAAACATCAGCAAAAGTGTGGGCAAAAATTCAGATAGCTAAGGGGAAGGGGGGGGGGGGCAGAGCCCGGCCTGCGGCTCACAAAGACCCCCAGGGTAAGGCTGAAGAACTAATTCACAAGTGGAGTGATGCAGCATCCTCCTCCTCCCTCCCAGCAAAAATCAGCAGAGAACAGCAACTGCGACATGATGACAGATGAATTAGGATAACAAGAGCACTGTCTAGTGATGACGAATATGGGGGAACCGATCACAACCCAGGAAGTAAGAGGCGCTATGAAGAAGGGTAAAAGTACTGCACCTGGTGAA